TACAAGAGCTGTGTTGTGAACCAGGAATATTGGAAAGTATTCATAATGAAGAGGTATTTCACTTTACCAAAAGAGAAAATTCCTCTCATTTTGTCCCACACCATGGCCGCCATTACCACCTTCAACTGTCTTTACAAGAGCTGTGTTGTGAACTGGGAATATTGGAAAGTATCCATATGAAGAGGTATAATGAAGAGAGAAAATTACTCTCATTTTGCTCAATGCTATGGCTACCATTACAAGGGTGCATTTGAAAAAGCTATCTTGAATTTGCGCCATATAAATATATATTATTATTATAATTACAACCCCTAAAAGTCTTTACCTGAGATGCTACTATCCCTTGTTCATGTGTATTACTTCCTTGTACAATATGTAGTGGCTGTAATGAAAAGCCGTGCTCACTCAATACTTGATGCTGAGGGACTTGAAGTGTGACATACATCTCCTGACCAACTTGTCCTGCGTTTTCATCGGATTTTTGCTCATTTGAGTCCTAAAAAGGATTTCAATCATTATTGTTAATATTAGTATAATTTTAGAGTTGAATATAGAGTTTTGCACGCTGTGATTGGTCGCGCAATCAGTAATTCTCTACAATTTTCTACCTGTGTTTTGGAGCTCTCCTGTTCAACTTTTGTAGCTCCTGAAAAAAGAAATGCATGAAATAAGTGTTGTACTAGTATGCGTTGATAAATAAGTATATGTAATAGGACTCCATGCATAATTTGACGAGAAAAATTCTGAGGACTGACAAAATTGAATGAGGCCTTAGGTCGAGTCCAATTTGGCAGTCAGAGGAATTTTTTGAGTCTAATTATTTCTTGATTGGGGAGCATGAAATCCCATTACCTATTAATTACATAGCTGCCTAATTAATCCCATATCAACAAAACCTGTCCAATTAAGAAAATAATTGAACAGTTATGGGATTAATAATAATAATAATAATAATAATATATATGGCTTATATAGCACTTATACAAGTCTGTTTTAAGAGCTTAGTAACATACGGTTAATGATTAATGAGAAGCTGTATAATTATAATAACAAGAGGGTTAAACACTAAACAGTTATAATAACTAATAAAATTGTGGCCCTCGAAGCTAATGAAAATCTAACTATAAATATATACTCTATATACCCAAAAATAATAGAGAAAGAAAAAAAATTACTTAATATAGTACTTAAAATCTAATGATATATGCAAAAAATTGAGCATATTAACACACTTTAACTTCCCTATTCACTAAAAAATAGAATTAATAAATAAGAGAAAAAAACAGAAAACCTGAAACATCCTTGAATCAAGGGAGAGAAGGACCTAAGGTCCTGTTCACATGAGAGGAGGCTTAACGTAGAACTACGATCTTCCTTGCAGACGAATAACTATACAAGCTATGTATCTTAAAACCATCTTGAAGGCAAACTTTTAATTTTAAAATAATGGTATCAAAACTTCTAATTTGCATATCTGAATATTCAAACATAGTTATAGTGTTACATATTTCAAATCCTAAGTTTCTGCTAATGTCACACCATACTTGGTTTCTCATTTATAAAATCCTCTATTTTGAAGGAGTATTAGATTTACAGGGCTTAAATTAACAGCCAATCAGGTGCTGGTCATTATCACAAGCCAAATTAGTTTTAGTTTAGTCATACCTCAAAATTTGAATGGACAATTCCCAGTTCTGGCTGGACATTGTGTGATGTCCAGCTGTTATTTTAAGCCCTGCTTGTAAAGAATATTATTACCTTGAGGAATCTGAGTCAAGAAATGTCCTTGACTGGCATTACCAGCGTAGGCCAGGAACTGCTGTGGATATATGGTGTGTCCAGACGCAAGATTAGTTAACAAATTCCCGGTATCACTAGTTGATACACTAGTTGATGTCGAAGCACTCTCTGCTGAGCTCACTATCAATGCCGTAGGAACACTACCATGCTGTGTGCTAGAAGACACCAATTGCGTACCAGACATCAGTAGCGGCATCTGTAGAGTAAGGGGGGACATAGCTATATTTGGTAATGGACTAGTCTGGTTTGGTGTTGAGAGCGATGTCAGTGCTGACAGTGCTGCAAGGGGTGACGGCATGGAGAGCAAGCTTGATGGTGTTAGGGGTGTGGTTAGGCCGCTAAGGGCATAGGCTGACGATGTTGTAGGAAGTGTTAAAGGTGTAACGTTGACAGGTCTGCCAGAAACTGTTGTAACATGTACAGTTGATGACGACATGGGGCCAGTATTGTGACCTAAGGTAGCAGTAGCCAGCGTTGCCAAGGTATCCAATACACTGGAATCTTGTGTTGTCGTTATTAATGCTAAAAAAAGTTAATAAAATTATTAACATTTAGCTAAAACAATTTAGGCCTAGGGCAAACGTCAAACTTTACATGCACCAAACTTAATTACATCAAAGAATGCCGCCTCATTATCACCTGATATCCATTGTTTTTAATGAGTTCGGAGCATGGAAAGTTATAGCTAACACAATATTGATGGACAATATTTGACAATATCTGAAAATATGTTACCTTCAGAGCACTGAGCTTCAGATTTAGATTTCACAAGTTCAGCTGCCGACACCAACGATGCTATGGAATTTTCTGTTGGACTTCTAAGTGAAGGAGAACCTGATAAAATGAATGGTTCAATACTTGACTGAGCCAAATGTGAGTCGAGTTTGTTTGATGTGTTGTTCTCTCCTATGCTACGAGGGTTTTCTTCCGGTTCCCTCCCTCCGATAAAATCAACATAAGTTGAGCCTTGTGTGTTGTAAATATAGAATTTTGTGGTAGTGTGTGTGGAGGGAACCTCACGGAAGAGCCCCATGTGAGGAGTGATGGTTGTAAAATATGGGTTTTTACCTGCATTTTGGAACTGTGCAGGTGCAGATACTCTTCTCCCATTGGATATGACTGAAGTGTTACCAGAAAAATTTAGAGGGACTGGAACTCCACTATTACTTCTCTTACGACTCTTTCCACCATTACCTGTGGAGAAACGTTTAAGCACATTAGAAATGCATCACTAGTTTTATCAAAATGCGAAAAAACTTAGCACGGTAAATGGGGTTCCTGTGTCTTTTCTAATACAGTTATTCCAATCCATATTACTTACTGGGAGGTCCATCATTACCAGTCCAAGAGCCAGCCGTCATGGGAAACTTTTTTGTCCTCTGTCTCTTTTTAACACTGTTTACATTCATGGTTGCTCTCTCAGCTGTTGACAAAAACAATGGAAATATTAGGGTGGACTGTTAGAGTGGGTGACCCCACACTCTGGACATATTGGGGGGGGGGGGGTAGTAAGCTATAGACTCCATTCTCCCCTCTTTACTTGTCTTAGCTCTTGACTCAAGTACTGGAAACTAGAGATATTGGGGGGTGGGGTCAGACATATATAGCCTAACCCTCTCCTCCCTACTCTCTTGGGTGCTAACCCAAAGACTGGACATAGGTGGGGTGGAGTCAGACATATATCCCCACCCTCCCCTCCCTACTCTCAACTGACCTGGTCTTTTGTTACTTTCAGGAGACTTGTTGCCACCTGTATTTTCCTGGAGAAAATAAAACAACCAATAAATTAATAATATTCACATAATATTAAAATATAAATTATTGATATTCTGCGAACTCGAACATTTCAACGGCTTATTTTGAAATTGCTTTTTCACTGCTGCCAGTCAATAATATAAAAGGTACCGACTGATTATTTTTGATTTACAGCAGGGAAAGACCAAATTTCAGCATGAAGCTTGTAACGACAGAGTTTGAAGAATATTGAAAACGGCAGTAAATATGAAGTAAATCATAACTATATATAAAGCATCATTTGGTTAGATTTGTTACATCAACCTTGAAATAATTTCTTTGTTTTACCGAGCTTTTAACCTACGCAGTCATCTTCAGGTTAACATATAAAACTCTTTACAACTGTGTAAGATAAAGGTTGATATTGATGTAACAAAGCTAACAAAATGAAGTTAAATCCTAACTACAATACCTTTTTGATTTGATATTAAAAGCAGTAAGCATCTTACCTGGCCTGCGCTGAGAAGAGCAATGTTTTCCACACCACACTTCTTGCCTGCAATGTCCAAGGGTGTTTTACCAAACTGAAACAGTGCAAGATAATTTACAAATTTTTAAACTGAAWTTTTTTTTATCAATAACGAGTTTTCTTCGATACTTCTCTTCGTAATCATCTCCACCACCATCATCGTTACTCAAGGCTTAAAATAACGGCCAGACATGAGACAATGTCTGGACAAATCTTTGCCTTGCCGGTCATTTTAACCAGCAACGTTGAGCTATACACAAGGTATAACTAAGCTAAAACTAATGTGGTCTGTGATCATGACTGGCGACTGATTAGCCATTATTTTAAGCCCTGTTTGTCATAATGTATCATCATCACTATCAACATCAATGCAACTTCTGTATCACCACCACCATTACTCATCATCACCAACATTACCATCATCCCCATCATAATTATCATCACTTATTACAAAAATCATCTCCACACTATGATTATTATCGCAACCATCCCAATCGCTACCATCATTATCATCATAATAACTATCTATCATTTGGTTTACTCCGATGAAGGACTAACGTCCGAAACGTCAGTTTCATTTTTACATACCATACGGTATTACAAATTATTTATCTATCAACTGTTTTACTATCTATCATCATTACCTTGTTTACAATATTAATCTGTGCACCAGCTTGCAGCAGGGATTTTATAATTTCAGTGTGGTTGTGCTCACAAGCCCAGTGTAAAGGAGTCATGTTCAACTGAAGAAATGAAAACGAAAAGGTTGGAACAATATTTTGTATTTCAGACCATATGTCATTTGAATATTCTTGAAAGTTCAAGTTCAAGTTTAAATTTATTCACACATAAATAAACAAAAAGTAAAAATTATTTACAGAATTGTAGGATAAAGATATAAAGTATATGAAGTTACAGAGAATATTATTACATGTAGTAGGAAAATAACATGAGGTGTGTATGAGCATTGGGAAGCACCGGTGGCGTGCGCTGCTAATGTGCCACCTCTCTCCAATGCGGCCYGAGTTCGAATCCCGATCTTGATGTCGTATGTGAGTAGAGTTGTTTGTTTTTTCTCTCTCCTGTGCTTCGAGGGTTTTTCTCCAGGTTCTCCGGTTTTCCTCCCTCCTCAAAAATCAACTACTAAATTCTAATTTGATCTTTCACTTAGTTTGGAGCCTAGCTCTGTTGCAGTGATTGTCCCACGCTGTGATACAACAGCTAAAGTTAGTAGATTTTTTTTTTAGATTATTTCTTTCTTTTCCAGTAATGCCAGATAATATAAATTGAATATGAATGTAATATTAAGAAAGAATCTTATTCCTAAGAGATTTGTAATGGAAAAATATACTCATTCATAACTTTGAAAAAGATCATCAAACTTTTAAATCAAAGTTATCAAAGTTATAATCAAGTTCTTGCTGCTTCGACCATTTGGTTCAAAAACATACTCCCTGAAGCTAAAATAGGCAGCTGATACTTATAGCTAATGAAATTATTAGAAGATAAATAATTAATAATTCAATACCATGTCTTTGTTGTTGACACATGCTCCAAAACTAATCAACAGATCAACGATAGCAAGGTGTCCATTTTGTGCTGCCATGTGCAGCGGCGTTCTGTCCACTTTGGTTCTAGCATCTCTGCTTACACCTGATCGCAGTAGCTGCTCTGCTGTCTGGGTGTGGCCGTGTTGTGCCGCTAGATGAAGCGGTGAGGTACCAAGCTGCCAAAAAAGTTTGGACTCTTTAAAATGGTGATATGGGTGGCATATTGGTCTACTGTTCCCCTCTCACCACTGTGGTCCGGGTTTGAGCCCAAGTTTGGGCTACATGGTATGTGAGTTGAATTTGTTTAACATATTTTTCTATTCAGTGCCAAAAGGATTTTTCTCTAGATTCTCTGGTTTTTCCTCCCTCCATAATAATCAACATGTGAGTTAAGAGTTGTATGCATAGAATACTTAATGTAGCGATAGCAGGGTTATCAATAAAATTTTTGGTAGGCGGTTATGAAATTAAAATAGGCAGTAAACCTCAAATCACTGGAGCATGTAATGGAAGCACACTTGTCACCAGTTTCACTCTTCTCACAAAAATTCAAGATGGCGGACAACGATCATCGTAGTTTCGATTGCGTTGCAGTTTTTGTACTACAGCAACAAAATTTGGGTTAAAATTTATTTTAACAAACTTTAAAGAACTTGAATCAAAATTTACAATTACATTGGGAAGTGGCTAAGTAGGCGGCCGAATTAGCAAGAGTAGAAGGTGGAATCTGCCGGTTGCCGGCTTCTATTGAAAACCCTGCGGTAGTCATCATTGTTTCGTTTTGCAGCCTTATTATTGAAGTAGTCCATTCATCATGGTCCATTTATCACTTACCCAATCCGTAGTAAAGGGTGCTCCATTAGTCATCAACTGTTTCACTACATCAGCTTGTCCATTCCGAGACGCTTCTAGCAGTCTCTTGCCGAGATCAACTAGCGAAAGCTTTTCATTCTCCTTCATGTTTTAATGACACGTCACTCTTGAAAACAAAATGAAATCAGGTTGCGTTAAACTTAAAAGAAAGAAACAAAGTGTGTTTAAGTCGGAATTTTTTAAAAACTTGGGGATTCGAGTTCTGAGTTTCTTTAAAATATCAAAATAATCGTTAATCTTCTAAGAAATGAGACAGTATTAGGATGCAATGTCTCATGTTGATAATATTCAGGAAAGATAAAAGATGGCATACATACTAATATCTTTTCTCTTGCTCTCATTGGTCGAGAAGTGTCACATGGTACTTACCGAATGAGAAAAGCAACTATTGATTTTTCAACTCTTGGTAATATTATTTTATAAAAAAATTAGTGAATGGGAAACGTTACACCCAGTAATTCCTTTTTAAGAATTATTCTGATTTGCCTTTGGAAATGCTGTAGATTTTTTTCAAAAAGTCTTACGACTTCCTTTCACAGGAAATGTAGGTCTCATAGACGTTTGTTTCCTTTAAAAATATCGCTGACAGCATTCCTTCAGTGAAAAAGTGATAACTTATTACACAATTTTTTTGTGTGTAATAACTTAATTCTGTTTTTTTGCAGTTTGTTTCTAAGTATATAAACAAACAACCTGCATGGAGTACTTAAAACATGTTTAATCATTGTTTTCTATTTTTTATTATTAAATTTAAATAAATATTATTAAAATCTAAAATACAGTTCCCATTACTGATGTATTTTGCATATTTATAAAACAACAACATTTCAGAAGTAGTTTTATATAAATCATTGTGTTGCTGCACAGGCAGCAATACTACATCTCTTTTACTTACTCCCTGCTGTTATCAAATTTATGTTCGTGGATGAATGGAGAAGAGAGGCCGAGGAGAGACATTATCATATTTAGATCACAACACATCGCGAGAAATTATAATATTACTTGAGAACTATAAGATGTGGTTGACCAATATTTGATCAAAAAGAGCTTGAACAACCTATTAACCCTTCCAAGCAAACCAAAATATCTCAAATGTCTCTTAAAACTTAAATACATTAAGGGCATATTAATGCATTTAAATCATAAACATTCATAAATGTTTTAAGACATCAAATGTTGAGATACATTTATCCCGAAATATCGTCAGAAAAACAGGTGAACTGAGAGATAAATTACTTGAAAAAAATGGATACGATCTTGTTAAGGACATTATATTAAGAGAAAATTGTCTCAGTTTGTTTAAGAAAACAACGTTTTTGTCTGTTTTAGGTTGAGAAAAATGTAAAAATATGGTTTGTGTACTCAAAGGGTTGCAGTCCGGAAGTAGTAAACGGCCATCTTGAATTCCCAACTTCATCAGCGAAAAATACCACAAAAAATTCTTATAAATGTATTTGAAGATATCCTGAAGATTTCTTATCGGGAAGGCTACAGTTTTTCCAATAACGAAGGATTTTTTTTGATTGTTTTGGGGATATTGTGAGGCAAAATGAGATTGAAAGGCTGGAAATCGCTTCCTTCGCAACGGTGATCTTGAAGCGACGATCTAATTACAAAACACTTCACGACTAGAACAAAATTATTATAATATATTTAGCAAAAAAACAAAGACTTTCTCTAAAGATATCTAGCTAAAAATCCAGAATACCCAGCAGTGGATAATTTTCTATGATTTTGTAAAGGTTTTATAGAGATTGGGAAGCATTTTCCTTAGAAAATACTCAAAACATTGTATGAGTTGTATATCCGGCGATTAGTAATTTATTCAATCTTTGCGCGGGTCAGTGTTTGTGGAACCGGTAGTTAGCTAATTCTGAACAAAATCTGTGCCTTAGACGCGATCTTTCAAAGGAAAAAACTTTAAATTATATCTTTTAAGCGAAATCCACCACAATCAAATGTGCAGGAAAAACAAGCGTTAAAATATTGTGCAGTAAAGACACTGCGATTCGCAGCAGTGCTGATCAACAAGGAAGAGGAAGACGATAAAACCTCTTGCTTCGAGGCTAAAAACTCCACAAAATTCTGCTTACCTTTCGCTGGAATTCACATAGAATCTCCTTCAGGTGTATATCTAACTGTGTGAGTGGTTTTTGCTTCGATAGACGGGATTATTTTGCAGAAATTGAGGTAAAATTTAGGCCGGAAACTCTGAACGGAAGCACATGGCAAAGACTACTGTGAGAAGGACACTTCCTGCCTTCGATCTGCATACAGACGCCGTGGCAAGACTCGTCACGTGACTAGCTATGTAGAAAGAAAATATACATTCATCAACCAAAAATATTTCTTAAAAATACTTCTTGCTTTAAAAAAATTATATTATTTTTAATCTTTAATTACTCTTAGCTATGAGCAATCCATACGTAATGAAGTTAAAATTTAAGGCTTTTTAAGGCAGTAATTTTGGCTTTATTTGAATAATTTTATAAATCAAATTATAAATTCTCTTGTATTGTAACTTTTTGTCTCTTTGACTTTCCGTTTCCCGTATGTGCCATGAATGAATTCTAATACTGGGCTCGATCGGTTCCCGCCATTTTACTGAAATTCAATCCTTACTGTTTAGTTTGTACATGGGTCATTATATTGAACTCTATTTTTTCACGTTTTTTAAACTAATTGTTAACATTGGATTAACTTCGAGATAATACAAAAAACGCTGTACCTTTCTATTACCTTTATTCTCTTAATATTTCCTTTCCCTTTTTAGAGGGTTCTGAAGGGGAGTCCTAATCCCATTTCCCACTCCATTTTAACCAAGTCCCATAGTCCCAGCCTATGTTTTGTTCAAATCTCAATTCCATTCTCATTTTTTAATTGTATTTTTTTGTGATTCCCATTCTCAGTGCATAAAATTCCACTTATACCTCGCATTTGTCTATGCTTTCTTCATTCCTTTCTCTCTTTCTTCTTAATAATTAATGCATTTATAATGCAGCTTATACTAATTCCATTTTGCAAAGAAAGGTTGAAAAAAAAAGAGGAATAGAAATAGAAAAAAAAAGGAAAGAACACCGATGAATTGAATGAGAAAGAAAGAAAGAAAGAAAGAAAGAAAGNAAAGAAAGAAAGAAGGAAGGAAGGAAAGAAAGAAAGAAAGAAAGAAAGAAAGGAAGGGAGGAAGAAAGAATTGCGTGACAGTGACCACCCTCGTTCTAGTCAAACAAATCTCCCCCAAGGGGCCTAGGGGTCAATAAATCTCTTGTTCATTGACAGCTGGCACATGTGCCTCATATAGGTCCGATACAGAAAGCAAATATAATACCACACAGATAGGTTACGAGACCTTTATACGTTAGTCTACAGTTATTTCCGACACTCCTACCCTGAAGTTCAACTTACCAAAAAAAGAGTTTCTTAATGTACTAAGACTTCAGAAGCGCATTCCTTTACTGTGGGTTGCTCAACCCATTCGGCTGTTCTTTTCAATTAACATTACTTGGTTTTCAATATCTTAATTCGCTCATCAAATATGGCTGAAAAACCACGAGTTATCATCCTAGGAGGTAAGACTTAAATTTATTTATATAGTTTACTAACCAAGTTCACGATAAAGACGTTCTCTTCTCATAGATATTCAATAATTTCTAGAGAATTTCAGAAGGGTTTTATTCATCGCTTCATCAGCGCCTTCAGCACTCGAGTATCGATGTATAATTTTCTCTTTCGTATTTGAAAACTGACTTATCTTGCAGCTGGTCTAGCAATATATTTCTTAGTTTGATAATTGACGTTTTAAAATTAAAATTAAAACTCTATAAAAAAAGATACGTAGACTTAATTAATTATTTAAGTGCCGTACAAGTGTGTTTCAAGAACTGTGTATACATTTGTTGTATATTGATTTATATTTCGTAAAATATATTTTTTTCGTTTTATTTCTATTCATAATTTTATGAAAATTCAAATTTTATCGCTATTTAATTTTTCTTAGCCTTACAGCTGATTTATTTAGATATTGATTTCATCTTGTCGACATGYTAATACAGGAAGGGGAGGGGGGTGGGGGCGTGGTGTAATTGAATAGAGGTCACGCAAAAGGTCACGTCATAACCATAACAATAAAAAATTACGCGTTACACCGTATAATTGAAGTCCAAATATTATTATAGATAACACAATGCAAAATTGATTTTGAAGATTTTATCAAAGATAAAAAATCCAATTTTGAAAATAATTACAGGTTATGAGGCAACTGCTACATCCCCTCCCCCTACCCCGATGGGTAACTTCCATTTCTTTAATATCTGAAGGATTGATTACTGTTCATTTTGTATAATATCAGGCCTTGGATTTGTTGGGCGTAATCTAGTGTGCTACTTGGTCGAAAACAATTTGTGTTCAAAGGCAAGTATTGATTTATACTCTAATTGGGATTCCTGGGTGAAATAATAATAATAATAATAATAATAATATTAATAATAATATTATTTTATTTGTTAGAGCAGGCTGATTATTTTGGCAGCTTTTGCTGATGTGGGCCTGCTTTCACTTATACGCACTACCACTACATTTACTATTTTTATGCACACAACCTGGAAAAATAATCTCTAAGTACAGGAGTCGAGAACCAACAAGCAACTCTACTCGCACACAACATCAAGCCCAGCAGGACTGAGACCAAGGTCACATTGGTGAGAGGCAAGTGCTCTCACCACTAAGCCACCCATGCTGCCAGACAATTTATAAAAAAATAGTATGTTTACGTCTTTATTTTATTTTCAAAGATAAGAGCTGTAGATAAAGTACCACCACAGACTGCATGGCTGAATGATAGACAAAAGGTATTGGAGCTCATTGCTGTTAGCTAGTGTAGCCAGCTGTGTCAGTGTTCTTACCAGGCCGCGCCATTGCGGGATTCGCGCATAAAAATCAGAAATGGCGCACAAATGTCAAATCTATGCACCCCCAAGGGCGCATGAATTATCCAAGGAGTACTTCCTGATAGTTTTAAAGATTTAGAGTACTTTTGAAATAATAAAAGTCACATTATATTGTCGATAAACAAGGTGAAAGTCCACATGAAACGCCACGAATCGAACATAGCCGTCATCGCCAAGACGTCTGGGATTAGTCTGTGTTCATTGCCTCTGTTTATTGATGGCCCAATTACGGCTGCCCAGCGAAATTTTATTGTGTTGTCATTACTAATAAAACTGTCTTACATTGTTGTAGATTTGCCACAGAAAACATTATTATTTGTTGTTTTAAGATTTTGGAAATGGCCCATCCAGTTTTCTAAATGGCCCCTAAATTTCGGATTGGTGGGCCCTTTGACCCCCTGAAAGAAATTCCTGGTAAGAAGACTGTGTGTGATTATTCTGATATACTTGAATCCTGTGGCTTTCCTAGTGCTGATAGCTGGAGATTTTGGGATTCCTTGTAGCATGTATGTCATGACTGTGGCCAAAAAACAATCTATCCTAAATCCTCCTCATTTATTTTTGTTTTAGGAAGCATTTGCCAACAGTTGTGTTGAGTTTAAAAGTGCCAATCTAAGGAATCCAGGTAATTAATTGGGTGTAACAGTTTCTAACTATACTGTCTTAGGTGACAAGTCATCACTCCTTTTCATATAAATGTGGTTATTTTTAAGCAAATTTAACTTGGAGTGGAATATGGCTAGCAGTACTGTGCATGCTCTCTAGCTAGCAGTCCCTCATGCAGCTGGTTGCCTTGCCATTGCTGTTGCATTCCCTACCCTTGTGTTTCTAGCTTTGGCCCCAGCCCCCCCGGTTTTACCTTGGGATTAGGTATGGTAAACAATTCACTTTTTCGGTGCTAGCCGTCATGTGGTATAAATTGTGTAGGATTGTGTTATGGTCATTAAGAAGTTCGGACATTGTTCTCAGATTTCCATACAAATGTACTGACTTTAAATGAACTATTTACTTGGTTTGTTTAGTTAGTTCTCTAAATGCAAGTAAAATATAATTTTTCTAGCTTGATTGAAGCTTTTCTTATTGCTGTTAAGAGAGCTAACTAAAGAAATCTATCTAAACTTTCTCTTTAAACTCATCGAATTTGTATGGGAATTCGAGAACGATGTCCGAACTTTTTGGTGACTGTAACACAATCCAACAAAGTGTTTACGATGTGACGGCTATTGCTGAAAAGGTGAATTTATTTCATTGCGCAACAGTGACAGGTGCCAAGGTTGACCCGTGCAAGGTTGCCATGACAAACCCCTAATTGAAATTATTTTTGAAATGACAATATATTTCTTTTCTGGTTACTGATTTTCCAGGAAGCGTAGAAAAAGCCTTCCTGGACGATGGTGATTTTGAGTTCTGTTTCAATTGTGCTGGTGAAACCAAATATGGACAGATAAAGGAGGTATCTTAACTTCAATCATTTCTTAAAATAAAGTGATTCTGAATTGACTCTCAAAATTTACCATTTTTCTGTACTTCTTACTCATAACAAATTATTACAAATCACGAGGCAATTCACAAGGAGCAAAATGGATGACATCATTTTCCTGATCTATAAAACTTGTCGTTATTAAATTTATTCAAAACTCTTGTGAAACAGTAGGTGGAATGAATGATGTCATCACCATGGTCTGTACTCTTATTAACAATGCCAGGAAGCCAATCAAACAGTGAGGATTGTAACTGCTTTCATTAAAACCGCATTTACACATTTAGCCTGTTTACATTTACTTCCCACCCATCCCCCTCCCCAAGGGAAAAGTGGAGAGGCAGCTCTGCACACCAGGATAAGATTATGATAACATTTTTTCTTTGTCGTATATTGTAGGTTTATGAAGATGGTATATATAAGTTGAGTATAAATTGTGCCAAGGAAGCAGCAAAGCGCAACATTAAAAGATACATAGAACTATCAACAGCACAAGTATATAACTGCGACAAGGTACAGATAACTCATTTGTTACCTAATATGAGTAAGCCATTCATCCATCTATCCTATCTATCCCATCCCATCCCAACCCATCCATCCATCCACCCCAACCCACCCATCCATCCATCCATGCATTCTATCCATTTATTCATTTATCCGTCCTTCCTTCCATCCATCCATCCATCCATCCA